TGTTGTGAATCGCCCAGAGTTCCCCCATTGGGGGGAGATGGGCGGGTGAAAAATTTGGTAAATAAATAAAATAAAATAAATAAAATCAGTGAGACTCAACAAGGTTGTACACACCTCCCTCTCTCTAATGGTCATTCATCAAGGCAACCTAGTTTGATTCTCATAATTAGGGTCCAGTTAATCCATTTCTTCCAAGAGGGATTGAAACAATACAACTGTTATTTTCTAGATCACCTTCCCTTGCAAACATTAGTAATTGAATGATAGTTAAGAACCACATGTTCTGGAATAGGTTTCTAGAACAGGAGCACTATCATCGCCTGTATTCACCTGCCCTTCCCACAGATATTAATTTATCATACTCTATCTATTTAATAAGTCCTTTTGGCTCGATAACATCAGTCATGAAGGGAAAGGATAGAGGATAAGAGGTTGGTTGTGTAGCTTCAAGCATTTTGTATACATTTTTGGACTCAAAAGCAGAAATGTGTCCCACAAAATTGGACAAGACAGAGTAATGACCATCTCGTTTGGACTTGTATTAGCTGTTCAGATCAGTACAGAGTGATTTTTTTTCAATAAACTGCCTTGCAAATTGATATAATAGATGTCTGAGGGCTCCAACAATCCATTTGATATTAATTTCCATTAATATCATTACTATCAATTCACACCAAACAATTTTGGTTGATGTTATTCAGAGATGTAATGCTGGCAGTGAAGGAGATCTTGGCTGTATGCTGCCAGTATCTGGTCACATGGTTATCTTAAACTGAGATTGTTGCTACTTGTGCTCCAGCCATCTTCCAACCTGGTTCATTGGATGTAGGTCATCAGAAAGTAAAGAGAGCTTTCAAATTTTGTAGCGGCAGAGAAACAACCACAAGGACTGTAACAGTACAATCATCTGTTTTCTCTGCACCATTCAATAATGAGACTAGGACCTAAACAGAATCACTACAAGTGAGTAAGATGATTATCTAAACTTCTCCAGAAAGTGATCAGACCTGAGAATGGGTTGATGATAACTGTCTACACTTTCAAACCATTATCTTCAAACCCTCATACAAAGATTCTTTTAATCAGGAGATGTACCTTGCTATAATAAAGAGCATTCCTGGAATCCCCAGCATGGTTGTTTCTTAACCTGGCCTTCTTTGAAGAGTTGACCTCAATCTTGAAAGCCTCACTTGTCACCTGAGAGGCATCAAACCTTGCTTTTAAATCTTGAATATGATGACAGATCCTTGGGACATCCCACTGTCTGCTGAACAAGTTGCTGACACGTTATTAAAGCATCAGCTGCAAGTGGATATCCTGTACAAATAATGAATCTGTGCAATGCTATGATACATCAGAGCAATTTAGACAAAGCTTGCCTCAGCCAGGAGCAATACAGCAACCTGCAGTCCAGCCAGTGTTTTTGTATACTCTCATGGGAGTATGCCAGAGAAATTTGAAGAAGCCCAGGATCAATTTCTGACTTTTACAACTCAGCATAAATTGTTTATGGGAGGTCAGCCAACAGAATTTCCTACAGATTGCACAAGGTGATTTTTGTTATGAGTCTGCTGAAAGAAGGAACAGCCAAATGGGCTGTGCCCCTCATTGAAGGCAGTGGTCCATTGTTGGTTAATTAGCGGAACTTCATGCCAAGATTTAGAGCTGCTTTTGACAGTTTGACCAAGAAAGCAACATCAAATCAGGAGTGATTCTCTGCCATTGCCCTTGATAAAGTGCTGGACCAGTCCTCATGTGGGAGGAGGGGCTGATTGCAACAGAAGCATGCGTGTAAAGACTTGTGAAGCTAACCTTGGGGAAGGTGTAAGAATGCTATTAAGAGGTGAAGGAAGGAGTGAGCCATTAAGGGGAGACTTTGAGAGAAGATTATACAGTCTTGAGATAAAGGGAGAATATGAGAAAGAAACTCTAAACAACCCCATCTTGATTTTGTTTAGACAGAAAGAAACTTGGACAGGGCTTCAAGATCCTGCTATTCTTCTTTACTACAATAAAGAGAATCCCTGGAATTCCTGATATGCCTGTGAAGGGCTGATAGGAGGGCGTTAAACTAGAACAAAGGGGAGAGGCTGGCAAAAGCCCAGAAAGAAATATGTGGTAGAGAATGGGCCAAAAAAGCAGAATGCAAAGGGAAAACCAGGAGGCCAGGATGGGGACTAAGTTTGCAGAACACTACAACAGTGATGCCAATAACTGGGGGGAATGAGGGAGTATAGTGGTAGTTTATTTGGCCTAGTTTGGCACTTTAAATTGCTATACCACACTAAATAATTTTAGAGGTAATGAAAGTATGAAAGAAAAGATGAAAATATAAAAAATGTCTGCAGTAACTGGTTACAAAAATTATGGACAGTTTTTTTCATTGAGAAAATTAAAGCCATACTGCAAGACATCAAGTGAAAACAGATGATTTGCATGAAACTTGACTTCCTTTTTTTTTATTCTGATAAAGCAAGTAAAGAAGAAGCGTGGCCACCTATTTCTATTCTGATAAAATATACTTAATAAAAGAAAGAACATAACATTATTCCAGTTATTTTCATACTTTGGGGAATTATTTGGTCTTTTATTTTTATTTTTATTTATTATTTTATTTATTATTATTTGGGAATTATCTGGTCACTTCCTGATTAGACTACTGCATTGGGTTCAGCATAGGGCTGCCCTTGAAGAGTATCCAGAAACTTAAGCTGATGCAAAATGCAGTGGCATGAGCAGTTATGTGTGTTTCTGGTAGAACACACCTTGCACCTCTGCTTTGTGAGCTGCATTGGTTACCAGTTTGTTTCCAGGTCCGATTCAGGGTGCTGGTGTTGACCTTTAAAGCTCTTCATGGCATGGGACTGGGTTTTTTGAGGGACTGCCTCTCCCCAATTTCATCTGCCTGTCCCACCAGATCCATCACAGAGGCCATGTTACAAGTTCTGTAGTCTAGGGAGCTACATTTGGCTGGCCCTAGGCGGCATGCCTTTTCTGCTGTGGTGCCTGCATTGTGGAATCTTCTCCCCCCTGAGGTAAGGTTGTCCTCATCACTTCTGAGCTTCCAAAGGTCCCTCAAGATCTGGTGATGTCAGCAGGCTTGGGGACCTTGGGGGACAGGTGAACTAGAGAGGTGGCTCCATTATTATTAATATCTCCCTATTATTTTTCTGTGTTAGCAAATTATAATTTTTAAAATAATTTTAATGTTTTTAATAATTAATAATGATAATGGTTTTAGGTATTTATTAATTGTTTTAGCTCTGTTGTATGGGACCCAGAGTCACTGGCTTTGTGAGATGGGCAGCTATATAAATTAGACAAATAAATAAATTTTGAAATATATAATTCCATGAACTGTTTACACATATTAATACAGTTGTAGAGCAATACGCTTCTTCCCTTTTTCTTAAAGATAATTTTTATACAGTGAATGACATGAAGCAATATAACACATTTT